AGCTGACACAAGATTTAAAAAGATGAAATGTTTATTGTAGACTAGGATTAATTTATTCTTGAGTGTTTTTCTAACATAACTCTGTGACAGAGTTATGTAATTAAAATAAACTCTCCCGGCCCGAGTTGTTTTATTTGGTGTCGTAACAGTTTAAGAAGCATATGTCTGGTTCTGTGTTTATTGTTAAGTGATTTTAAATCTTTACTTTTTAATATTTAGATGTATAGAATTTAGAGAGTAATTATATACCAATCACTTTTATAAAATAAAATTTTAAAATTTATTTAAAAACTGTTAAAATTAGGAGCATAAAGGTCATGACAACCCAATAACTTGTATTTTGCATAATAAAAGTTAATAATAGTTATAAGTTTTGTTAAGCATAATAACACAAAATTAGAAGTAATTCTAAGCAAAATGGTAGTAATGACGTTGAGTTTGTAAAAAATAATGACAATAATGATTACAGTGTTGTTGATAAAGCAAAGTTAATGTGTTTAGTAATAAGAAGAGATGAGATTGTAAAATATAAGATTGTTTTTGCAAGCAAGTTGCAATAATGTAGCAGTTCAAATTGTTGAATAAGAATTTATACAGTGATTAACATTGTAATTTAAAAGTCAAATAATGGTAATTTAAATTGTAATAATAATAATTTATGCAAAAGAGTATTTAGGAAAAAAAAACTTGAACTGCTGTCCAAAATAAAATTAAATCAACTAAAATTTAGTATCACTAATTATCTTATTAATTATTCAGATGTTTTCAAAAGTATCTTACCTATACATAAAAAATTTAATTTAAAATTATTTAAAAGAAAAATGGATTTAAAATTGTAAAGTAAATATGCATAATTAATATAATTAGAATATAAAAAATACGAATTTAAATTATTTAAAAAAACATGTCTGATTAGAATATCAAATTAAAAAAATTTAGTAATTGACAACAAATGTTATATTCTTTTAAAAAAGTACAAGTTACAATTTAAGCTATAAAGTTTGAATAATACGCAGAAGATGAATGCAACCTGCATAAATTAACTTTATTCATCCAGTGCTGTTGAAAATCAGTTAAAATTTAATTTTTACATTTTTAATATAAAATACATGTTTTAATAAAAATATATGTTTGAAAGTAGTTTATAAATATATCTAAATTATACTTAACTGTTTAAATTTAATTTTATCGTAATTAATTATACTCAAACGAGGTAGTTGTAATGTTACAAAAGGGATATCATTTTGGTTTCTAGCGAAACTCCATATTCATAAGTTCGTCCACCGTGAATGTTTGTTTTTATGCAATTATATTCACCTAATTGAGTAGGTCATGGCGAACAGTGTCTGGCTCTGAGCTATCTTAGATCATGATTGTTGTCATCAACATAATCAACACACACTCTTAGATCATATTTTTATATTAAGAACAGTGGGTTCAGTACTCCACGTATTCAGGGGTGATCCATGACACAGGAGCTGACGCGGAACGCAACCGCATGATTGGTTGGCATGAGTCAGCGAGGCACAAACAAAGCCGTCGGTGGAATTGGAAGGTTGTCAATTCACATTTAATTTAATTTCTAAGTTGAAAACGTGAAAGCTGAAAGCTCACTTACCGGAGTTGGGAGAAAGGCTTAGGCGATGGTGTTACTGGTGATTGATTGACGTGCAACTTCGTGGAACTTTCATGCTAACCACCACTTGGCTAGTGAGAATGTGTCCTTGCTTTGCTCTGTCGTAGACTAAGTGGAAAAAATCTACTTCAGTAATGGAATATGTCAAAATTTCCAATAATGTTTAACAACACTGTGTTCGATTCTTTTTAATGTCGATCATCATGGGTGGGTACTTTACCGGGTTAAGCTTGAAAATGTCACCACGAGCTTTATTTCCAACGCTGTAATTTGTCTGTCGTGATTAATAAACAAAACCTGTACGTAATACAGTGATTAACCAACAAAAGTTGCACGTAGTACACCAGTCTCACTGAAGTTATTTTATTTTATTTATTTTAAAATTTTATATATTTTTTATTAATTAAATAAAAGATATTATAATATTTTTTATATTTTAAAAATAAATATTTGTTTATTGTTTTATAAAGTAGGAGGAAGATTATTTCAAAAATGTAGAATTGTAATAAGATACAACAAAGTTCTTCAATGAATAATTTAATTCTATATTTGTTTTAGAAAAAGAAAATAGAAAAAAAAATTAAAGTTAAATTGAAGAGAAAGAGAGAGAGAGAAATTTGAACTTATTCTCTTAGTATCAATTATTTTATTTAGTTTTTTTTTTCCCAATTATAAAGTACAATATCATCTATATATTTTAAAAAAATTATTTCCCCTCATCCAACACATTTTGGTACATGAAAAATGAGGATTATTAAAGATTTTTCACAACAAATTAATTGAAGAGTTGTTATTAGGGGAATTCATTTTACCATTCTGTTATATTTAATACATAATTTTGGTGTTGAGATGTTTTATTTGAATTTAATTCTTGAATTTTTTTTAAGTATTACAACTAAGTCATTCAACTTATTTAATTATCAAATTAAAATTTTCTATCAATTTTTTAATATAAAACTGTTTTTTTTTTCTTTGAACTCTCCACAAACTAAGCACATTAATTTTTTTAAAAAAATCTACCTCTCGAATTCACAAATTAAAACATCGCACCTCACCTTACATTAAAAAGAAAAATGATAACTAGTAACTTAAAAATATTAATTAAAAAATTTAAAACCAGTTCAAAAATATTATTAATGCACATAAATTTAATTTTTAATATACTCTTAACATGGTATTCGTTAAAACACAGCGGAATAATAAAATATTGATTAAGATTTGAATGTTGTAATCTTTTTTACTTAATATACTTTGTAAAAAAATTAAATTGAAAGATAATTAACAAATTTTACTTTGGATAGAAAGTTAGTAAACATGTTATTTAATTTTGACCCTACACATACACACACATGTGCACATATTTATATAATAAGAATTTATTTCCATTGAATATCAAAGTTACATACTTGGTTCTGTTGATACTTATAAGAATCTTTTATTTTTTATTTCCTATTTAAAAAATGCTATACATGAAATTCAAAATTAAAAAAAAAGAATATAAGATGCACAACAAAAGTAAAAGAAATAAATCCATAATATAAAAAATAAACAACCGCTTAACTACCCTTCCTTGACGGTGGCTATCTATATTTTAGATAAATGTTCTTAATTTGCATGTTTAATTAGAGTTATCACAAAAACTAAACTCCTTACTTAGTCATAAGTGTGGTTCAGTTAGGAACACAAATTGAGATTGTGGAAATAATAAAAGGTTCAATATATATATATATATATACTCCGTACTTAAGTAGTCACCTAATTGATAATCTAATTAATTAAATAGAAAACAAGAAAGGAGTCGTGTTCAGACCTGTTTACGGAACAACCCGTCCCAGATGATTAATTTGAAGAACATTGTTGACTTTCTATAAAAGCAGGTATTGCGAAGTGAGTATTGCTCATCCTTTCACGCCTCAACTGCACCGGATAAAGAAATTTATTAGATCTAGAAGAATTATACTATTTATTTGATAAAACAAGTACATTAAATGACTAGTTCACAATTGTGATAAATAAAAATACTGTTATTCTAAAAAAATTTCTACTATGTTTAATTTAATGAAAGACCGTAGTATTTCACATGATTAAGATGATGCACATTTAGTTATATACAGAGAGAGAAAAAAAAAATATATATATATATATATATCTTACTGGAAACGGACAAACAACTATGGATTTTTATTGGGAATATCTCCGTCCATCTCTTGCATAACATTTCAATATCTTCGTTTGTATAACACAGATTTGGCATTAATGAAGCTGATAAACCAATTGAGAATGAATAAACCAAGGCATTACGTACAAATCAACATTAACATTGTCGTTATTAGCAATTATGTATTGCACTTTCACATATACCATAACGCATGCCTATTCCTCCAGTTAGAAACATACATCGACTGTTTTAATTTCAAATACATACTTTCCAATAACATTAAATAAATGACCTAAGTAAAATTGCATCGACGCGATCGGGCACAGTGTACCTAACCCTCAAAGTCTATGGTACGTAAAATACTTTGTATTTGATACATTGTTGCATAAATTATTTAAAAGCTCATTTTAGGTATCAAGGAAGTTGGACTTAACACCCAAAGAAAGTTTTACATTTGAAAGAACTAATCAGTGCTAGAGGGCATTTTTTAATTAGCCTTTGTAAAGTTTATTTGGACTGATGTTATCATATCAGTACTTGTGTTTTAATTAATCTTGTAATTGTAAATTATGTCATTATTTTAATTTTTAGTTTTTAAATTATTTTCATAGTAAATTTTATTAAAATAAGGTAGAGTGATTAACTGTTATTGAATGAATGTTTAATTATTGTTTATTCAAGCATGTTTCAAGAGTGTTTGCATGTTTGAATTAATCATCTTATTGAACAATTCACCAAAACAAAATTACTAACTATTGCAAAGTGTAAATGCATCATTCTCGCCATAAATTTGATCAAAATATTTTATTTGATAATTCTTAAATTCATTGATAATTAGTAAAATCGTTACAAATATACCAATATCATATTATAAAAGAATAAAATAACTTTAATAAAAATCGTCATTATTTATATAAATAATATTAGTATTTTTTTTTATCCCTCTACATCACAGAACGTTTTTAAATTAATTTTTAAATTTAAAAAGTCATATCTTTTTCTATAAATTATCTGAACCGGATCTGCAGTCAGCCGGCCGTACCGCCTTCTACGTCACCGACCCATGCGGTGATGGCAAAGTGGTACAACACATATTTTTTTTTTCTACATAAAACTCTGCTTTTGAATTCATATAAAATTGTTATTTACAGCCTGCATGTTTACACATCAAAATAATTGAAAAATACTAAAAAAATATGGCCCACGTACGGCTCACATCACAGAACAAGCATTGGGATTCTCATCGCTAAACATCTGTGGAGGAGGATGATGAGGATGCAAATACAATGGGGGTGGTTCCATCGTGTACCCTTGGTTCACATACCCATGCTGGTTATAATTGTTCACGTAAATATACCCTTGATTCGAATACCCTGGCTGAACCTCCACCGCGTAGCTACTGCTACCGGTACTTTGACCAGGTGCGTATCCATCGTACCAATACATAGGAGGAGGTGGGTACCCGTACCCATAATGTTCCATTTTGTTAACCTCAACCTTGGGTGCACTCTCTTGTTTTTTATCACCCTCTTTCTTGTCACTACCTTCCTTGTTTTCCTTCTTCTCATTCTTCTCTTTCTTATCGTCTTCTTTCTTGGGTGGGACCACCTCAACGTTCCGTTTCAGCTTCTCGTTTAGATACGGTACCATTTCTTTCACCCCCATCGTCCCCTTCACTGTCACCAAATCCTTGCCTTCCTCAATCTTCACCGACTCAACTCCTGCACATACACGTCAGATGCCACATCGTTAGCACTATATGATAAAATTTTATTGAAATTTATAAGATATTATATAGTAATGCAGTTTTAAAAAATATGCTAAAAAAGAAAGTATGGTTCTATTTTTTATATGCTCTAGTATAAGTATTATCTCATTAGACACTAACTTGTTTTAATTAAAATATCTGTGAATTAAATAAAATACTTTGGATAAGGGTTAAAAATGTAGGTCAAAATACGCGCATGCCTAGCTAACCTTTGGTTTTGAGGATAATCTTCCGAATTTTTTGAATGCAACCGTCACAGTGCAATCTGATCTTCAACACCACTGTGCTCTGAATCGACAGTAAAAAATTAACAGAAAACCGGTTAGTAAGATCAATAATTTGTCAATAGCAAAGTCAGGCTAATTACGAGGCAATTGGGATGAATCAAACAATACGCACCTCTTTGGGGGATTTTTCTTCGGGCTTTTTATCTTCGGGTTTCTTCTCTTCGGGCTTTTTCTCCGGCGGTTTATCGGCGGCGGTGTCTTTTTTGGGCTGAGGGGAAACGAGTTCAACCTTCTTCTTAGTTTTCTCCGCTAGTTTATCTCGCAACATTGCGGGGTCCACTTTTCCAGCAACAGTTAGCTTGTTACCTGATAGATCGGCCTTAACGTCCTCCACACCTGAATCCTCAACAAAATCCACCGATTAGGGTTCAATTTCGAAGTTGCTAATAATCTCATTCTCAATTTCGCCAATTATCTCTACGAATTAACGGTTCTGAAGTATGAAATCGTAATCGAGATCCGAATAGTGAAAATTGTACCGTCGAAATGACGAACGGCTCGTTTGATCTTCTTAACGCATCCCTCGCAATGCATGTCGAGTTTCAAAACGACAGGGGCGGGTCGGTCGTCTTGCTTGGCTCCTCCATCGGGATCATTTTTCGCGTGCTCTTTTTTCTGCCGTGTACGAAAAAGAAAGTTAGAAGTGAATGGAATTCGTGAAATATTCTTGACACTTTACGAATATACATACTATTATGGTGTTCTAAGAAAAAAAGGAAAGTAAAATTAGAACTAACCTCTCCCATGTGAATAAGAGTTGTTTTTGCTGAATAAATTTTGAAGAGTGGAATCTGCTAAAAGAGGCAACGGAAGAAATATAAATAAGGAGAGGAGTCAAGGGAGTGAGAATGAGTCACACTAGGGGATCATGATTCATGTATGGGGTGGTAACATGTTATGTATGTATGTGAATAATGATGTTGATATGGCTTCAATTAATTAATTAATTAATTAATTAATTGGTGTGTGGAGGAATATGCTTTGCTGAAAGGTTATTTCCGGTGTTGGCGCAGGGTAGGACTTGTAGCTGTCGAGAATAATGTAATACTGAGTTGACAGATTTACCCTTGGGATTTGTGGTGTAATTGCGAAATGAATGTGAGTGCCTTTTGAGAAGGCGTAAAAACGGGGGAAAACGGGAAAGTGGAAAAAGAACCGTTGGGTAAGCGACGGGACGCAGTTTTTGAAAAGAGCAGTCCCAATAACAGGATCACAAATTTGCTAGTGCTGTCCCTTTTTTTCTGTCAAAAGAACATTCACCCACTTATTGCCTCCACAATTCTCCAAGTGCTACTTCACTTGTTACGATGTTTACCCTTATGATATGTCATTGTTCTCAAAAGTAAACTCCAAATTATATATCCTATTTTTTTAATTTATATTCAAGGATACGTTAAAAATTAATAAATCATCAATTTTAGATTAACATTTTAATTAAAAATTATATTAAACTGCATTAAAAATTATAAAAGTATATTTATTAATATTTTTTATTTTTTTTTCTTAACTAGTATGTTTAAAGCACTTATTAACATTTTTAAAAATTATTAATGATTAGTTATTAATGGGTTAAATGTTTAAATTCGATGTCCAATATTCTAATTAAGAAACAAATTTAATAAGTAAGATTAATTAAAATAACAAATTAAATTGTTGCTTTTAAATAATTGAATCTGCACGGTGGTCCACCTCAAACTAACTAGATATTATTCTAGTTTGTGTTGGTTTAAAATTCAATTAGACTTCAAATTAGTAAACTTGACAATGTATATATTTTAGCAAGATAAATAAACTAACCCTTTGAACTTAATCGCATGCGGATATGTAATTCTTTTTATATAACAAAATACATAAATTAATTGAATATTTATTTAATATTTTTTAAAATCATAATTTATATCATAAATTATAAATTTATTAACATTTATTACTGATAAATTTAAAATTTAACAAAAAATTAATTTTTAGAAAATAAGTTGAGATTCATTAACGCATAAATACTTATGTTTTTAATAGTATTTTATAAAATACAAGATTGACTAAATTAATTGTTGACTTATTTTATAATAATTTCATGACTATATATATATATATATATATATATATATATATATATTAAACTTCATATAATTTAAACATTTTTGAGTTTGTTATTTTGATATTTATTTATATTTAAAAAATACAATATCTATTAAAATAAATTAATATAATAAAGTATTATTATTTTTATTTGTACATAAAATTTTATAAATTTAATTTATTTATAAAAATTTTAAGTTAACGATTAAATTAATCAATTTCATGTTTTATAGCAAATTGTTAAGCTGTAACTTTTTAAATTTAATATTTAATATTAACAAACACTTTGTCCTTAAAAAAATATTAAAGTAAGAAAAAATTCTAAATTATAGTAAACAAAAATCATATGCTAACAAAAAGGAAAAAAATGTTTTTAACTCACAATCTATTTAATATTTATCACTATATAAATATAATTAAAATTTATATTTTTATTTATGTGCATCTATATATATAAGAATATTAATATAATTAAAGTTGAGACATAATTAGGAACATAACTCTTTACATATTAAGAAAAAAAAAAGCAATTATGAGGATGCAAGTCTTTGCTTTTGAAGGTAAAAATGCACTTTAAAGGAAAAATAAGATGGACTAAGATATTCGTCGTAGAATGTGGTATATTGTCATTTAGTCTCCAGCTAGCTTTCAAATATATCGAAATCATTTAAACATTTCACATTTTCATAGCGATAAATAATATCGTATAGTAAGTGACGTGTTGGTAAACAATTCGAAATTCTTCATCTCCAAATCCTTGGTCCCCAACAGCATGATATTGCTGACTCTTCAGGTGTGCTTACATATACAAAACATGTAACCCCTTTTCTCTTCCATATAACTTTGCCTGTTCAAGAGTATGGATCTTCTCATGGACACATTTTGACTATTAATAATTTTAAAATAAATTTGAACTAAACAAGAAAAAAATAATAATAAAAAAAAACAACAGAGAGAATCTATACTCATGAATTGCTTGTTATTATTATTATTTTTCAATGCACGAGCTACACCTACTCTATAGCTTAACCCGTTTCCAATCGGAATCATCTCATTTCCTGGGGCAGTCTTGTCTAATTTTAGATGTCAGCTTCATATATATTGCAGAGTTTTTGCATAAGGCATTGAAATCAAGAATCGATCGACCAATTACTGAAGAAGCTACGCTCCAAAAATTAAACGCGTAGTGTCAATTTCAGCAGTTGGCACGTTGTGCTTATAGAATATGATCAGGACAATTACAACCTTCGAATTAATGTCGTAGGATGATCATCTCGGTAAGGATCAATTATATAAAGCTGCCACAGACATGAAAACATATCTATACGTTGTGTTTGTTAATTTGTTTTTTAAGTACAGAATACTCAACCCTCAACTAATTAGCTTCGTAGCTATATGAAAGGCAATGTTCACATGCAAAAATGGGGATTGAGAACTTGGATTTGACTTTATCACAAGGTCTAATTAAGATATTGGTGACGTTCCATTGTACCCGTTGATTAGTCCATTTTGAAGAGTTTAAATTGTCTTATAAGGGAACTTAAGATAGATTGCAATTCTACTTGGCCATATTTAGTAGTAGCTTGTATTGAAGGGAACTGTCTCCCGTGATGGTGTTTCGAAATCAAAGACGATGGAGATACTCCTTTGAATTTTATTAAATGAAAACAGGTTCAAATTATTTAATAAAAATACTGTAAATTAATTCAATAATAAAAATGCATTAAAAGAATATGTCAAGAAAATATATATCAGGATAATTTGTGTTGTCTACGAAAGAAAGAAATGAAGCATGAACACTTTCCAGCTCAGTGAAGACTCAATAATGTAAATTCTTATATTGGCAACGGTCCAAATTACACTTGGAGCTAGGAAACCGTGTCGCAAACGTTGATTGTGATGGTGATAAATATAAACTCACGGCCATCCCTTTTCTATGGGATTATTCTCTGCCTAGTCTGCAGCAAAAATGGGTAACATTGGCCAATTTCTTAGGTGCGATAGACGCGTGACATCAGATTCCTCTCGTAAGTTAGCATGCACTTATATACATATAATTTTTTTATAAGCAATTTTTAGGGACAGTGGATGGTAATCCATTCTAAGGTCCAAAAATTTGTCGAGAAATTTAAACCTTGCATCCATTTGTTAAAATCCTATCTTACTCCTTTCTCCACTCAACTTACTCCTTAGAGTTACACATAATTTTGCCATGGATGAAATAAGATCATAAAAATTTATGTGTAGGCTTTTATTTTTTTTAAATGTTTTAGCACAGTATCTTTTTCTTTTTGTGATGTAATGGGAGTCTCTACTCCCTCAGTGATAGCTGTCTAAACTTTTTTCTTTATAGACTCTAGCTCTTTTTCTTTAAAAAAAGTGTTTTTTTTTCTCAAAAGTTTCATGATCTTATTTATTTATTTTCTAATAAATTACGTATTTATATATTAACAATGTCTTGTTCTCTCTTTTTGAATTAAGTTACTTTAGAATAACTCCATTTTTGTTATATTTAAATTCTATGACAGATAAGTTTTAAAGATGAAAACTGCCTTAGGAGAAGAAAAAAAAAAGATCAAAAATTAAAAAGGGAATGTGTTTTCATTTTAAAAAACTATTCTTAAGAAAACAAAAAAAGAGAGAAATTGCTTGACGTGATTACTTCAAATGTGAGATAGATAACGTGGGCAAGTGATAAGAATGGAAAATCGAAGTCCTTAATGACGCATTGGAGAAGGGATTTGTTCATTTTTCATAATAAATAATGGGTGGGGAGGATATCTTTATTACAATATTGCCATAAAAAAAGTTATTTAAAAAAAAGTTGAAAACATCTCCAAATTGTTTTTGCTTTTTAACTTTTAAAACATATTTTTAAAACTGCAAACCAAAAACAATATTCATCATACACATCTTTTGTTTTATTGTTTTTAAAAATAATAGTAAAACAAGACTTTTTTTTTTATTGAGAATGTATAAATTTTTTAAACATGTTTTCTACCTCCTTTAAACATTTTAACATTAGAGGAAAAATTAAAATAGATGGATAGTGATTTATCATTCAATGATTAGCCCATCCATTAATCCAATTTTAAAGTTTGTTTTATTTTTTATAAAAACTAAAACATTATTAAAAAAATTACTTTTTGTTTGTCTTTTTATCTCTTTTTCTGGATTGTTTCTACATTCCGGGAAATTAATTTCAGTAAACAATAGAATCATGAAAATCATAGTTGATAAAGAAATAGACGTGATCAATTGACAAAGTATAAAACTTGGGACAAATCTTGTTACTAAAAATGATAAGAAAAGTCATATAATTTCCCCCTTTATGGGTCTATACGTAATTCGAAACTGGGACCAATTGGGATCAGTGAGTGCGTCGTTTGAAGCCCAACATAAAAGGCCCACTAACATCATATCCGAACCTTCCTAAACAACTTCGTTGCATTTCCATCCAACTAAGCCTAGCTTCACCAGTGGAAAACCTGACCAAAAAAAAAAAAAAAAAACGATAACCTTCACCGCGATGCCTGCAACTCCATTTACGTCTCCGTTCCTCACACTGCAACCACGCTTCAATTCCTACATTAACCCTATCTTCCGTTCACTCACCTTCCAACTCTCGTCTTCGCCGCTCTCAGTCGATGGCAAGTTCTCCGGCGTTAGAGTTCATTCCGCACTTTCTCGAGCGGCGGAGACCGATTCTCCGAGCGGTGGAAGGTCAGGTGCGTTAACTCCCGGTCCGGCGGTCGCCGGAGAGGTTCAGAAAATCGACGTGAATCCTCCCAAGGGGACGCGTGATTTCCCGCCTGAAGACATGCGCTTGCGCAACTGGCTCTTCAATCATTTCAAAGATGTATATATGATTTTAGACTCAAATTGTTCAATGCTGTTGTTCTGTGCCTATGCATGCTTCAGCTAGATTATGTTTTTTTTTTGGGGTGATGTAGCGTTGGTTGTTTCTTCGTTTATTGTGAGATCAGGTTGCGCGGTTGTACGGATTTGAGGAAGTTGATTTTCCGGTGCTTGAGTCGGAGGCGTTGTTCACTAGGAAAGCAGGGGAGGAGATTAAGGACCAGGTAACTCTTTCGTTTTATCGATTTTTATTATCTGAAAATGTTCTGCACTTTACGTTTCAATATGCTTGGAACAATGATAAGCTCCGTGTGTTTCTCTGTTTAGCTTTAGTGATGTTATTAGATGTCTATGATGAGGTACTTAATTTAGTATTTTCTTGGATGATGATGTGTAAGAAAGAAATGCTACTAATATACTCTTTAAGACTCTTTCATGCACACTCTTTATTGTTGGTTAGAATTATTGATAATCACAAAATTTATTTGGGTCTCACTCCTAATTGAATTTCACTTATAATTTTGTAACTTATAATATAGTTCAACCAATGCTATATATTGTGTTGTGAATACTCCTCTGTTTAAGATGGTAATATGTCATTTATTTTATATTCCCTGGAGTCTCAGATAGACGAGCTTCCTCCTTCCTTGTCTTCTTGTGTTAGTTGTAGTCTTGTAGATAAGCTTGGAGCAGGTGTTTGGTATGTCAGTTAGGAACAGCAGAAGAACTAGGTTTCATGAATCATGTTGGTCAACAGATCATTGAGGGAACCGTTTATTATTTAGTGTTTCATAAATTTATTTGGGGAAGCTTGATTATGTTTGATTAAAAATTTTGGTGAACGACATTGGTGTTTTGCTGTTTCTGTGGTTGAGGCTTATCTTTGTTATTCTTTATACTACTTATGGCATATACTATGCATAATGAATCCTGGTAGCATCATTGTACTCTTTGACTTCATTAGGAACCAGCACTGGCTAGAACAGAGCCATCATGTGGCCTTGAGGTATATAGTGGCTATAAATTTACCCTTTTTTTTTTTAACCATAATTAGGTATGTGACATCTAGACATGCATGTATGGTTGATGATTGAGTGTGTGGGGTGGCAACAGTCTTCGTGCAGTCCCATTATTTTGATAGCAATTTTGTCACAAACAGCATGCTTGTGGCATGCTTAATAAATCAACATTTTAATAATTCTTTTTAAATGAAAAAGAAATTTTATTGAAATTGATGACAATGCATGTACATTAAGGTATTTTGATGCAATATTAAAATATATACATTTCTATTTGCAGCTTTATTGTTTTGAAGATCGGGGAAATCGTCGTGTTGCATTGAGGCCTGAACTTACTCCTTCTTTGGCAAGGATGGTGATACAGAAAGGGTGAAATTCATTTCATATGATTATTTTTTTTTCCTATATTTATAGTTTTAATGTTAACTTGTCAAGTCTATGTCTAAAGGTACACTTTAATTTTTTGTGTGTGAATGCTAAATTCTCATTTTCATGTCTGTTCTTATCTTTCTAGGAAGTCTGTGTCATTACCATTAAAGTGGTTCACTGTTGGACAATGTTGGCGGTATGAGAGAATGACAAGAGGGCGTCGTCGTGAGCACTACCAGTGGAACATGGATATCATTGGCGTTCCTGGGGTTATGGTATGTGTATTCTGCTATACACACCTTTTGAAGTAATGGACTATCCTCTTTCTGGTCAAATGTTTCATGATTGATCCTGATAGCTTGGGACTGAGGTGACATCTGTTCACAGTTGTGCCCTTTCAATTATTTTAGTATAGCTGTTATGGTAAGGTATGCTTTGACAAGTGGTTACTTTCTTTTTATTCATTCTCCCTTCTCATATAACAATAGATGAGCATTTCCTTCTTTTTGTTGTTGAGTCAGAAAGAACTGAAAATTTCTTGATGTTCCTCGCAATAAAGTTGCTACATGTTTGATGATGTTGCTTTTTTAATTCATGTTACTTCTTTGACATGCTTCTGGGTAAATTTTCTTGGTTGGTTTGCATTTTCTTCCTGATTTTAATTAATGGTGGTACTCATAATATTATTGAATGCATTGGATTGTAATCTTTTTTATGCATTTTGTCACCTCTCTTCTATTTTTTAAATTGTAGGCCGAAGCAGAGCTTATATCTTCTATTGTCACTCTGTTCAAGCGAATAGGGATTACAGAATCAGATGTTGGATTTAAGGTTTCTAGTCGAAAGGTGGATATTTGATTTTCTCTGTATGAATGATTAACCTGGTTTTATGGATTTCCCCTTGTTTTCAAGAGTTATTTACTCAACGGCTTTTTTTATTAATTAATTAATATTACTCAAAGACATGTAACATATCAAATCAGCTCGTAAACTAAAACTGTCTAATTTTCTGGGTTGTGTTTCTGGCTTCAATTTTGATGAATATAAATATTATAATATTAACTTGTTTCTGAAATGTAGATTTCATGGGTGTGTGTTAAGGGCAAGAGTGAAGGTTCATTTCTAACATCATGTGTTGTCAAAGCTTGGTGGAATTGACTAGGCTTGGTTTAGGAGTACTGAGGAGTACAATAGATATATATCCTGTTACTTGTGTACAATATTACAATTTAAGTCCTTGCTGTGGTTTTTATGAAGGATTCCATTTGGTGACATGTTTGTTTTCTCTTCATGTATTGTTGCAAATCATTTATGATATTTGTGAAGTGTCATTATTTTGTTGGTGCATGTAGTTTGTTTCAACTCTGTAGGTAACAGAGTTTGCAAACAGCGTTTTTACTTCTTACATTTTAACTTATTCATGTGATTGTATACTTGTATGCATTGCTTTGGTTTTATGATAGCCTTTCACTCTGTTGTATATCTCCTGGCTTTACAGGTTCTACAGGAAGTATTAAAGTGTTATTCAATCCCTGAAAATTTGTTCGGCAAGGTCTGTGTCATCATTGATAAAGTGAGTTATGCATATTGTTGCTCTTTTAGTTATTTTTCTAACTGTGGATGGTGCTCTAAGATTCCTTATCCTTGTTTGTTCTCTAGAAACAAATTTGGCAATGCTCAAGGTGGAATATAGAAAATATGTATGTTCTAAGTAACAGGAAGTCTGATATAGGAAATTAACTATTTATGCTTGAATTAATTGCATAAAAAAATATATAGTGTTCCATGCAAACCTATGTTCCGTTAGAATTAATTCATCATAAGATGTGAGGAACTAATCTATTTACCATTGACACCCAAGGAAATATAGTTTCTGATTTATGAAAGCTGTTCATTAAAATATTGGGTTTGCAATCGCTTCCACCACCTCCACTATAGCCACAATTGTCATTGTTATTGATGCTAGTTGCCACCCACTGCAACCACAATTACCATCATGAAGCCACTGCATCTGTCACTGTTGCATCTGTGTTTCCATAACTACCCCTACTTTTACCAGGATACAGCCACAGCTAACTTGTGTAGGTGATTTTAATCATAACTGGTGGTTCTAAAATGATGACATATGCTGAAATACTTTGTTGGGATTCAATTGCAAGGTATGAGATTCTATTGTGGAGTTTATAAGGCCTTGGACTCTTAACTATAATTGCCAGCTTCTGTGGTGTGATTCAAGGTTCATATCATATTTTGTCAGGAGTTTTATTAACCAACCAAACATGGTCATTTTATTTTCCTATGTATCTAGCCATTTAAATTTAAGGTATGATTCTCAAGAAATTATTTTCCATAGAACGTCTGTGATACAACCTTTTTTTCTATTTGCAAGATCTTCTAACATTCATGCAACATTATTTTGAACCTTTATGTGTGGATTTTAAATCATATTTTTATTTGTCCTAAGCTCTCATCCTTTAATCTGTTCTCTCTGGACCATCTGATATTACCCCATTTTTAATTCATCTCTGTCTTTGGAGTGATTGAAATTTCGTATTCTGGTTTGTTTTTGTCTACTATTGATACAGGTGCAATCATAGTATTCAACCAACTTGTTTTGAATTGAAAAAGAATATATCTTTTAATTTTGTACAGATTGCGAAAATTCCAGTTGATGAGATAAAGAAAGAGTTGAAAGCTGTTGGTCTATCACAAGAGGCTGTCCAGGAGCTATTGCAAGTCCTTTCTGTGAAGTCATTGACAGAGTTAGAAGGTTCACCCTTTACAAATTTCCTGACAATCTTAGGGCTTGTTTGGTTTACTCATTTTCTGTTTTCATTTTCAATAAACACAGACAATGAAACTGAAAACATGCTCATATTTTAGAAAATATTTTCAACGGACACATTTCCTAAATTAACCCTAAATCTGGAAACACTAAAAAGGTTGTTTCCATGTTTTCATTGAAAGTTTTTGAAAATGAAAAGGGTGAAACGCTGGCATGTGGGTACTTAACTAAAATATTATGAGTCTCCTTTCTAATCTTTGTATGCTCCAACATGCCAAAACCATTCTTAACACTACCATCTGTACTCTGCAACCAACTGTTTTCTTTGGCTTCTTTGCAAAGGCCCTACTGCATGCAATATCAATCTCCAGGTTTTCTTTGTTTCTGAATTTTCTCTTTGCAAGTTTGTTTTTTGTCGTCATCTTTGTTTCTAATTTTCCCCCTGCACTCTATGCTTTTCTCCATTTCTCCATTATTGTGTTGGAATCAGTAGTGTAACAATGGGATTTGCTGGAATTTGCTGAGAACTGGCCCATTAGGTAATTACTAGAAGCAAATGCCTTATGGTGCACCTGTAACTCACCTGTAGAATGAGTGCCTACATAGTGGTTGATTTGTTTTGCTCTGATAGGTCGTCACCTTTAATGACATGATGGAAATTATATGCAGTTTTTCAAATGGATTATGTAGCTCGTGTAGCTGTTCTTTAGGGGACATAGCCATTAATGGTTTGGGACTTGGATTTTCCAAATGGGTTAAGTCCAGAAATCCTTTATCCTTTATCTGCTTTAACCAGTATATGAAGTATCCTATCAATAATTTTTTAATGCTGTTATCTATGAAATAAGCTATAATTGTTTTTCTGCTGCACTGTACTTATTGTTAAACTTTGTTTGAAGTATAGCTGAACGCCTGAACCTCATTACTTATTTGTTATGTCTGACTTGTACATCTTACTAAAGTTTTGTTGTTTACTTGTATATATTTGTTTATGGAGTTATGTGCAATCGTTAGATTGCACTGCTTCCATTTGTGCCCCAAAACCAAGGACAAAATGGGCTCTCTTGCTTCATCATTGTTCCATTTTCTAATCAATATATATATATAGTCTGGATTGGAAAGCTGGCCTGTATATCCACTGCTAAGGGGAAGAGAAAACTATTTCAAGTTTTTATCTTGGTTCATAATTTCTGATGCAAGAAATCTAATTTCATGACATCATTATGTCCTTTAGGGATCTTTTGGGATTTTACATGGGCTGTGTTTAAGAACTTTTCAATTATGTTAAATAAAATTGCTAGCCATATAAATTTAAGTGATTGACTTTACCACTTACCTAATGTAAGCAACATATCCACTGTAATGGAGACAAGCATATTAAATAATTTATGGACATTGAAAGTCTTGAATTTGTCAAAAGCTAGTGCATAAGGTTAATTACTTTACTCTTTATATGATCTACTTAAACCATGTCTATAGTTGATGTGAAATTTCTACACACTTTGGCCATATCTGTAAATGTGAGATTTTAACACTTCCCTCATGTCCCAAATTAAACATTTAGAGTGCAAAAATTCTAGAAATTTTTTTTTTTTTTTTTTTTTTTTTGTGTTGCACTAGGAAAGATACAAAACTGAGTAGACTACACTTGAAAAGTCATGAGGTCAAGTAAATTGCACTATAAAATTTACACAGTTAGGTTAATTGCATTAGAATGATCCAATGTTAAATCTCTGATAAATTTTGACACCATCTTGTGTTTAAGTTTGACGTAACTCAATCCCAAAAGTTAACTTATAATGTGGGAATTGTCTTAATCTTTATAAACTCTACTTTAGTTATATCTATATTTGGCATGACACTTGCTTGTTTTATGCTTCTACATGAAGGCTGTCAATGGCACCATGAATTTCATATACCATGTATTAGTTTGTAGAAAGTAAGTCATACAACTTACCTAGAATATAAATTTGGTTGTATTCAGAGAGACTCGGAAGCGGTGGGGAAGCAGTTACTGATCTGAAACAGCTATTCTCACTTGCTGAAAAAATTGGTTACTCTAAATGGCTTCAATTTGATGCGTCAGTTGTTCGTGGTCTTGCTTACTACACTGGCATTGTGTTTGAGGTTTGAATTTCTTCATGGTTAATAGTAATTAGATGTTATTGTTTACTTGAATATAGATAATTTAGGAGTTAGGACCTCCTTGGACAGAATTCTAGCTGGTGTTGCATAACTTGTTCATTTTCTCATTGGATCATGATCTGATTCTATGATGAGCATGAACAAGGTGAATATTTGAGAAGTTTCTTGGAGCTTGTGTTTTCAAATTTATACTCTTCATGCTTAATGGCACTGAACATGTTTGTGATTGTTGAATTTTGCAAATAAGGGCTGAAGTGCATGATGAAAACCACAATTTTGGTTTACTTCAATTTTTCATAGGTTTGAAAATTATATAATAATACTTTGAAGTTCATGGTAAGATTGTATAATAATTTGTTCTTGGTAAGATACTGTGAAGTTCATGCATACTCATGTAACAAGGAAGCAAAGAGTTTGACACCTTCCAATTCATGAAGCTGGTGGCTGTGACATGTAAGATCTTTGATGATAACGTTATTCTATTATCTCCAATAACATAAAATGCATATTCTAAGATCTTTGGGAGAACCACACCACAATCCCAAGGTTCTTATCAGCATACATGGAATCTGAATGTTTTTCTCTTAATATATTGTCTTGTATAAAACTAAAAAAGAAAGAGTATATATAAAGCTTATATTTTGTTGCAACCAAGTTACATTTTTCATGGTGCTTTCCACTGGAGTTTCACTAAGAATTGATGGCTTCATTGGTTTCATTGATTCCTTATTATGTTAATATGTAACTATGGTATAATTGGCTTTTGTCTTTCTTTCCCTCAAATAATTAAATTCTTCAGTAGGGTTTTGATCGAGAAGGAAAGTTGCGAGCAATTTGTGGGGGTGGCCGATATGATCATTTGTTCTCAACTTTTGGTGCTGACGACATTGCTGCTTGTGGTTTTGGATTTGGTGATGCTGTCATAGTGGAAGTAAGTCTATACTTCTGTAGCAAGAGAAATGGGAAGTCACCATGTTCTGTTTTATTAAACCATCTTCTACATTTTTATAAATTCCTTTCCTTCTCAGTCTATGACATCTTTTCAAGTTTAGGACTAGGTATGGTGAAGCAAATTTTACTATTGGATAATATTGTTTATCTATACAAATTGTTTGTTAAAAAGCCTATCTTTTAATGCAAGTGTAATATGCTTCAAAAGCTTTGAAAGCAATAATATTTTATAGTTTTATTTCTATGCTGCACAACATGCCTTGTGGTGATGTGGTAGTGAGAAAAAAATTGAACAGGAAGGAGGAGAAAAAATTATCTTTCAAGGGTTCCCCCTTTCTTACAAACTTGCTAATTCTCTGAATGCCTTCTTCCCCCATTATTCCCCCTATTTATTTGATTGATCACTTGTTCTTATTGTAATTGTCCACAACTAATTTTCCCTTCCCTTTTTCCTAACTCCTAAATCCTAGCAATACCACCCCCTTGAAGTTTAACCTTGCCTTCAAGGTTTGGAATCTTTAAAACTGGAAATGATACCTTTGCTCAATTAACCTCCTTTAGTATGGAAGAACTGTTTGATGAAAGCATGATCAATGTGATCCCTGTGGTGAGTAACTTAGTGACATTCATGCACATTTTTAGTTGATATAGTGGAGGATCAACATCCCTGTCTACTAGGAACATAGGTTTCGGACCATGAATGCTTTCAAAATACAAAAACAAGTTAAAATGGACACTACAAATCATGCATGCCTACTGATCTTGCATGGCGATTCCATGCAATCTTACAAATCTCTAATCTTGCTTGCGAGCCAGCACGGCATGGCGGTTCAGGATAGTAGAATCATGTGTTTTACAAGTCAACACGCGATTTTGACTACCATGATTAAGATGTTTTCAATTTTGACCATGAGTCAGTACGCGATTGTGTAGTATAATTATTTGGGCACTGCACACTCTAATATTTGGCTTATTGCTTTTGAATCAAATGCTGAATTTTCTCTATGTTAATGCTGATCTGCTGATCTCTTCTGTCAATTAGTAGTCTCAGTTCTTTTGTTTAGGTTCCTGTTTCTCCTCCTTTGTCAACTGGTCTCTATGTCTATCTTTTTGTGACAGTTGCTCAAAGAGAAAGGTCTGCTACCAGAGCCTAGCTTGCAAATAGATAACATTGTTTGTGCTTTGGATGAAGATCTTCAAGGATGTGCTGCTATGGTTGCTAACATTCTCAGAGAAAAAGGACAGAGTGTTGACTTGGTTTTGGAAAGCAAACCACTTAAATGGTATACAATTCTTTCATTATTTTTGTTCCTTTTCTTAACCATACTTGAATATTGCACACATAAATCTTATTATTTATTCTCCTCATAGGGTTTTTAAACGAGCAGCCCGAACAAATGCTGTGCGGCTTGTATTAGTGGGGAATTCTGAGTGGCAAAAGGGTATGGTTGGTGTAAAAATTCTCTCCACTGGTGAACAGTATGAGGTTAAACTAGATGATCTAAAGTAAATCAGAATTTGAATTTCTTGTGGTTTATGTATTTTGTCTTCATTATTGGTATTTCATTTACCTTTGTTTTTTATGTAATCCTACTTGAGTGCTTGTTTGTATGTGCACATAATTATCTTTGTGCATGTACAAATCTGTGCATATACATATATCAAAGCTTCTGCTTCTGTTCACATTATTTATCCAAATAAGTTCTTCACTCATATTGTCTGCCCCTCTTGTTCCTTTGTCTTCGTATTTCTACGTGTGTGCATGTAAGGACAAGACCATATTGTTGATGGATCAATGGGGAATTTTCACTTGAAATGTTGAATTGAATGATTTGTTTGATAATAGCCTATTGACCTTACTGTTAAAACCCTTTCTCCTTATTTCTATCATACTAAAGATGCTTACACTTAGAGGTTTATGGTTGGTGGAGTCAATTATCTTTAAGCTTTAGATTGACGCATTCAATATGGTGGTCCATATGGTGATATTTGCAATATATTCTTAACTTGGGCCTAAAAAACAAATTTTTGAATAATTTATCTTATCTCTTTCAAAGTTTAGTAAGGCATTCTATGTGAAACCATGCCTGTATGATTTGTTTTATTTGCAGAAGTTGAAATTTAATAATTTATACACACAAACATTCTATGTTAAATCATACCTGTATGATCTGTTTTGTTTGGAGAAGTTAAAATTCAATGATTTACACACACAAACACAAGGGTCAGAATCTGCTTTAAATTTTTTTATGCTTCTCATGATCTTGTTGAGTTTTATGTTTTTATTTAATTATCTTTTGAAATGAGTAGTTGTGGGAAGCAGGATGGAGCATAACGTGGTATAGTTGTTTCAGTACAAATTAACAAATATTTGCATATGATGAATCAAGTGTTGTAGGCAAATAATATTCCTAGTTTGTTTCGTGAATGATTGGAGCTTCAATATTCAATCAATTGGGGCAAAAATTAGTAAGCTTTTTGAAGTTGTTAGCTATATATGGTAAATGCTGTGCATGCTTTGCTATGAAGAGGATAGTAGTGTCAAGGTTATGTTTTCTACATCCACACAATGTTACAGTCATTCAGCAGGAAATATTACAGCAGTATTCCTGACATATTTGAGCTGGCAGAGTTTGCTTAGAGGCTCCCAAGTTGCTGACAATGTTGCAGTGTGGCCCATATGTAAAGCTGTATCCCTTTCTGCAGTTTATAAATGCATTTATATGTATGTTTTAAGGATAAACATCAGTGAAAGAGTTCATCACATGAGCAGAGTACTTTTTTTAAAACCTGCTTTTACTCAAGAGGATTAAATGTTCATTTACCTTGATTTTGATCCCTTCATAATGCATAAAGTTCATCTTCATTTACCCATGTGAGAAATCAGAGAAAGGATAGGAGAAAGTGATAATTTGCGATATGCCTCTTTTAGGCAGTATTAAAACTTGGTTGTTCAATAATTTGATTGATATTTTCAAATTTTTTCAATATTTTGGTGTGTTTGACATATGCCTTTATCCTCTGGTAATTATGGAACTAAGCTGGCTTTAGAAGAGATAGAAGCCTCACAAGGTGTCCCCGTATATTTTTTCACAAATGTAATACTTGTAATGTTGAGCAGACAGTAGATTAATTAATCTACATCTTATGGACATGTATATACATACAGTTTGATTATGCTTATAATGCATGCGTTAAGTCCGGATACCATGTGGATTGCTTTTACAAAGGAGGTACCTGTTTGTATCTACTCTCACCCCAAGTTCTATGCTTATTGATACCATTAATCAACTAGTTTTGCAAACACAAACAGACTGACATACTGATAGTTTGCTTATTGCCTTTAAGCTTTAATAGGGTACAATTGTTCCCACTTGCCCAAATCCCATTGTAAAGAAAGCCCCAGCCTGCAACAACAGATAGACAAAGAAATGGTCGTGTCCGAATAGCAGATCATAGATTGCACAGTGCAGCATATACATCCCCACTATGATCTCCAGTGGATGGATCCTGATGATTAAAGTAAAGGGTTATAAATATGCATTAGATGAAATAATAGGGAGTAATAATCAAATATTGTAAAGGCATTGTTTACCTGGCAGTCTAATGTTATCTAATACATTATGCTTAAGTCTAAAACGTTATAGAAAACTGTAATTAGAATATTGTAATTGTATTCTGCTGCCCTTTTTCTCCCACAGGTTTAAGTTTATTTTTTGATGTTTGAATCATGTTACCTGTATGTATTGTAGAAAGATTTGTTCTGTGGTTGAATGAATTGATTTATTCAGACAGACTAGCAGCAGAGTATCTGGTACCTTTCTATAATTCGAAACCATGAAGTTCTTGATGGCCTAGCATTTCTCCTCTGTTTCATGGCATTTCCAAGCTTCTCAGTTACAACCCATTCATTAACACGACTTGCTTCCAAGAGTCCTATAATTGCAGCTTTAGTTCGATGGAGTGACATGACATTCTCAAAGAGTATCCAGAGCACTAGTAGATGCATGGATCTGTCCCATACATAGGTGCATATAGAATAATTAGGGTAAATTAGGGAAACTGATTTGATTAAGCATAATAAGTACATACATTTACAGGGAAACAGAATATATTTTACCCTGCTGTCAGAACCAATTACCTTGGAGTGGAGACTGCATTTAGAATTGTAATTGTTGCCGGGATGTATATGGCAATCTGCTTTTTGAGATTGACTTCAGGAACTATCACACATGCTGGTATAACTATGCAGTAGAAGAAGAATGTGACCCAATGTGCTACTATTTTCCTCACAAAGAAGAAAGCATAGACAAGATGAAGTCTCTTCAGAAGCGGTACCCTCTGGATATATACAGGCTTAATCAATATAAAATTTTATAAATTTTGATTGACTTTGTTTTTAGCTATTTTTGAGAAAGTTAGAGGTTGCATACTTCACAATAGAGGATTTCCATGGTCATTTTCTTAAAGAGATTAGCTGGACCACATGACCACCTGTGCTGCTGATATCTGTAAGCTTTAAATGTGCTTGGAAGTTCATTTTTTACCTAGCAAGAAACAATATTTCCAGGTGGGATATGGGGCAGTTTGTGTTATTCAGACTTACAATGCAATATTATATCAAAGGCATTAGACAAGTAAGGAAAACTCACTTTTACATCACCCACAAAAACAAACTCCCACCCCTGCAGACTTGCCCTAACTGCTAGGTCCATATCTTCCACTGTAGTTCGGTCTTTCCATCCTCCTGCATCTTTTATTGCTTGGATTCGCCAAACTCCTGCTGTCCCTGTATGTGATTGTGGAAATTTGAGTAAGCTGATCTGCAAAGATGCTTCTCTGAATTTAAATTAGTATCTTAACTTACCATTGAAACCAAAGAATGAGTATGTTGAGGAGCCCACTTCCTGTTCAACACTAAAATGATAATCGAGTGACATCTCTTGAAGCCTGGTCATCATACATTCCTCGGAATTCACTGTGCATACATGAAAACAAATTTAAAGAACTTTGATTTGCTAGACTCATTGATGAGTCATGCTGTCAGTGGCTGCAACAATTTAACAAGGTGTTATTACCAGTTACTTACCAAATTTCCATCTTGCTTGAACCAAACCCAATTTTGGGTTCTCAACAAGATAAGGAATTGTATTCCAAAGAAAATCCGCATCTGGCTGGAAATCTGCATCAAATATTGCTACAAACTCACAATCCTCAACATATTCCTTCTCCAAACCCTCTTTTAGGGCACCTGCCTTGTAGCCATTACGGTGTCTCCTTGTTTCATATTTGACATTCACACCTTTCTCCATCCATTTGTGACACTCCAATTCAACCAATTCCTGCATGTTTGAAAACATGTGGTTACTATGAGTTGAGTCACAACATACGCATATGGAATCTGCAATGAAGCTTTGTTGGATTTAATCAGATACCCTTAAGACTTGATTTGTTGAGTCATCAAGAACCTGAACTATGAATCTGTCAGCTGGCCATGACAGCCCACATACTGCTCCAATTGAAAGCTTGTAGACCTGAAAGCAGAAATTGTAATTTTTTCGGCCGAGATAATTCATCTTTGTTCTTTGTTAGTTACCAACATTGCTGTAGCCATTTTACTACACATTCTTAGTTTGGACAAACAACCAATTTGTGTGTTCCCTTACTTTGTCATTTAGCTGTGATTTATTATGAATATGATTGTCCAGATGTTGTGATATAGTAAAATAATGACTGCCCTTAGTGATGGACTTTAAGAGATGCTAGATTTTCTGGTTAATCTGATAAATGCAAAACTAACCCCGCAAAAGAATGAATGAATAAAAATAAAAAATAGGAATGAGGGAATTGATTATTAAGAATGTGATAAATCTAGTTGATTTATTCCCATTTAAAGCCAGTCTTAATTTCTAATATTTATAAATGATAAAAAGGGATGTGGTTGGAGTTTCATATGGCATGTTTGGAATTATAAAACACTAGCAACTGATTGGGCCACTTATAAAGCATTTTAGGATAAAATATCATATTTTAAATGGTAAATATTCATAGATATCATGTAACTCTTACATTTCAGTCTGTGCAAAACTTTATCAATTAAAAAGAAAGTTACCTCTTTCTCATTGTACATAGGTATTTGGATCAACACCATGGGGAATTTTTTGTTTCTCTCTAACTTCTGTTTCATGGCTTCCAAGTTGTACTTGGTGTATTTTTTCTTCCTCAGCACTTTGACAATGAAAATTACAGTCGCCATTGCTACCCTTTCAACAAATAGCATGATTGACATGATTGAGCATAGTATGACAGCTAGTTTTAGGCCTGGTATGATCACTGGGGCTCGAATTGATTCCCAGGCATAGCGCAGACTGCTTGAAGCTTGTCCTGGAACCCTGATTTCAGGCTCCTCAAAGATTAGGCTTCTCATGGTTTCTGGGGTAGTGGCTATGAAGGAGTATTGAGCGTGAAGAGAATGTCACTATGGGACTTGGGGGTTGTAGGATGGGTTAGTGACTTGGCGTTGGAGATGAAACCCTTACTTTAAATAGGAAGAAAATGCAAGGTAGGAAGATGAGGACATGCATTTGGGTTTATAGGGTGATGAGTGAGCTATTAGGGGGAGAGATATTCTTTTTGAGAGACACACGTTGTTCATGCAAGCAATGGTGCTGCAACGTAGCTACTTGATAGCTGGATATGTCTTTTCTTGCCGACAATTTGATCGAGTTTTACCGTCAATGATTTTGATCAGAACAATAACTGTTTGTTTCATCAAATTTATGAGATTCTAATATATTTGAGAGTGAATATTAGTTTAGAACCCTTACAGAACCAAGCTGGCATTTTTGGTATTTCTTCAATGCTTAAATACAGTTTTTTGGTTGAATTAATTTCACC